TGACTCCAGTGGTTTCGGCGTAACTTAATTTGCCAATGACTCCATGTTAGTGGCTTGGGGATATTCCCCCCTGCAGGGAGAAATGCCCCGCCACGCTGCTTGGCCTGCTGCCTCATCCCCACTTCAAAAGCTGGCGCATTCTTGTCTTTCTGGTAGCCCCTTCATCAGCCACAGAAACACACAGGTGTTTCCTTCACCACCACACATGACTCTCTTTCTACACATACCCAAACATGCAAAGCACTGAGCGCTTGGTTTGTTCCTTTTCTTCTGTGCTATTCCCTCTGTTCCCCAGGTGCCTGGTTTGCCACACAGCTGCCTGTCTACCTCTGCAGGGTCCCAGCCTGTGGGCACCGCTCTTGGAGTCACAGGCGAGAGGGGCGCCAAAGGTGACGCATGTGGTAGTGCCTCTGTGCTCCAGGCGGGGCTGAAATCATTTTAGGGCCAGAGTAACCAGGGGGCTTTGTAGCAGCGAGTGCTGGTGCTGGGACACCTGTGCCTTCCTGTGTTACTCCCCACTGCCAGACAAATTTCCTGTCACAGCAAGGAGGGCAGGACTGCTGCCCTTTTGCTAATGCTTTAGAGGTTGCAGTTTATTCCTTTCAAATGGTTGCTTTGTGTGCTGCTCTTATTCTAGGTCTGTAAACATCTAAGGAGGAATATATGAAATCTATAACATCTTGGGTATTTTGAATTTAACTCAGTTCAAGCCAGGCCCTAGAAAAATGCATTTTAATTGAAGTCATTTTATCTACATCCTAATCCTTTCTTCTGCTTCAAAAGCTCTGGCCTTCATGGCTGGCTAGTGCTCTGAAGGACATGCTCTGCTCAAACACAAGCCTCACCTGAGAGCTGGTTAGCACCTGCCCAGTGACAAAAGTGCTTCTGAAAATATTTATCTTATGTGCCTTTCTGTAAAGCTGTAGTTCAGCAATATGTAAAAAACAGGTGCTGCTGGAGGTCATCTCATGTTCAGGAAGCAGTATGAAAACATTAACCTGAATACCAGCACTGTTCTGAGCTGCTTACTCAGGAAATGTCAGGTAGCACTGCTGCTCTGCCATGGCCCCTTGATTTTAGCTTCTACATCTGCACTTGCTTTTCTAGCTCTGCCCTCCTTATTCACTCCCCTCCCCAAAAAGACAAGGTTCCTCTCAGCCTCCTTGTTGTGAACCCTCCCTATCATACTACTGTCGCCCCCCAGCACATACTGAGCAGCCATAAGATCATGCCTTTGGCTACTCAGCACTGTCTCATTAAAGCCAAGCTTTCACAGCACTAAGCCAGGATAATGCCAAAGATTTTGGTATCTAAATTCTGCCTCCACGTAAAACTGAAAGCTTGTCTTGGCAGCCACCTTGCCCTTGAGGCAGCTAACTCCTGTGGTGCTGCAACTCTTCTTTTCTTCCTTTTTTTTCCCCCCCCTAACTTTCAAGCTTCCTACCTGCGTGAAGTGCTGCTTCTGGGCATGGCCAGACAGCTTCACTTTTCACTGTCAGAGCAGCTCAGACAGTTTGGCAGAGGGCAAAAGAGCAAACAGGTTTTTGGTTTTTTTCCAACTGCCCCAAGGCAGAGGGGCTAGTCCAGGCAGGTGATGAGGGCTTGTTTGATACTTAATAAATTGGCAAGTCATTAACCCCGTAAACCAGTGCAGATATGAGATAATAAGAAGATAAAGCTCAGTTGCTTATAAATATTGGGTTTTTTCTTTTTTTTTTGGACGCAAGCTCCTGGATGGTGGGAACCCGCTGTATACTGGTCAGTCCCTAGTAATAAACAACAGCGCACACTTACCATACTGGCCGTGAGAAACCAGAGTGCTGACCCAGGGGACCAGCTGAGGCTGAGGGAATCTGGGCTCAGGGACAGGCAGAACAGAGACAAACTCTGGAGTAGCCAGCTGTGGATAATCAGTGACCTCTAGAAGGGACAGGCATAGGAAGGAGCAGCTAATGGTACTTACTGCTCTTCCTGTTTTCCAGTTGCAGTTGTGCTGGAAAAAAGCAATCATTCTTCTTCAGGAGAGGTCAATGACAAACACCAGTGTGACTTTCTAACCTGCTTCCATGTAGCAGGGTTAAACAAGCCCTGGGACCAGGGACCAAACCCAAGAGCTGCCTGTTCCCAACAGGCTGGCATCGCAAGGGTGCAGCCCTGTGCATTTGCAGAGGAGTGAAAGGTAAGCCAAAGGCATGGCACCTACACCTGTGCTCCAGTCTGAAAACTGAAACGGCCTAACAGGAGGGCTGCTTAAGAATACCCTAAAGCTTTGTGGCAAGGGCTCTGTCCTGCCACCTGGGTGTAAATCTCTGCAGGCAGAAAGAACAGTATGTGGGCTTCCCACAGACCCTTTCTCTGGTACCTGCTTCTCCCCATCTCACACAATTGGCAGCACCCGCTGGATTCCAGCCTGGTGTCAAGCCCATCAGTAGGGCCCAGTGAGCCCAGTAATTCCAGCTTTCCTTGGCTTTCAGGTGACACTCAGTCTAAAAGCAGGTCTGCACTTTTGCCCTTAGCTGGAGGGATGGGCCAAGGCCACTGGCCAGCACACAGCCTCTCCCACTCTGCAGCAGCATTCTGCTCCATGCTGTCTCTAAGAACAGTGGAACCCTTAGCAATTTTAAGTTAAACAGGGCAGAACATGTGGCAACTTGATGCCATGTTCTGCAGCCCCTGGGTCAGGTTTAGCAAATCCTCCCACAGCTTTAGCCAAACATGAAAATCCCAGACGCAGGGTATGAAGTGTGCATAGCGGGCAAGCAGAATTCTATCACTCCAGGCAGGTTTGCCCTTGAAGTACTGACACAGCCAGAAACCGTTGATATCTGCCAGCATTTCTATTAGTGCACAATGTGCTCACATTAGTTCCTCCTCTCATAAGCTTTCCACTAATATTTGCACCTGCTCTCCCTTTGTCTCCTGCTCCTTTTTGTCCTAATAAGCTCCTCATCCTCTTCCCTGGAGCATCACTCAACACTCCTTTCCCTCCATTAAAAGTTATCATCATCCTTCTGTCCTGCTATCCCCTCTATACCCTGCATAGCGATTTGTCCTCAAAGCCTTTTAGGAGCAAAGAACCCATTCCTTCACAGTTTACACAATGCAAAACAGAAGCAACAGAAAAAGTGTGCAAGCTTTCACATAATCTGCAGTGTCTTCATCCAGCACTGTGGTCCTCAAGCTTTTTAAAGCCACCCTTCCTCTTTTTTTTAAAAGTTTCATTTCTGCTTCTCATCTTCCCAGTTTCTATCTGACAAAAGCACTAGTCACTTTCTAACTTAGCTCAAGCCCCCACAGTTCAAACATCAGGGGTTTTTTTTCTGCAGTGTGAAACAATTTGTACTACCTATTTTCTTCTCCCAGCATTTAGATTTTAATTTTCAGTAAAACTGAACCCCAAACTCTACCTGCATTGTCTCAGAAGATATACTACACTCATCTTGGAGCTGAAGAGGATGGACAACTTTTGGGTGGGATAGTCAGAGACCAGCACATCCAAACACTATGGCAGGGGAACAGTTTTGTCTGTGGGTCCTACCTCTTGTCCTCCAGTTACAGGATGTATTCTGAGACTCCCCAGAAAGTCACTGCTCTAGTGGAGGAAGGAAAAAAACGAGCAATCCGACAATCTGAGTCTCAAAGCTGTTACATCATCCAAATAGCAAACATAGTTTATTTCTAGAACAGCTGGAATCCTGTATTTGACTAAGTTGCAGACAGATGGAGCTTTCAGAACCAGGCTGATGCTGAAGGAAACTTAAAACACTTTCACTGGCAGAGCTACAGTAGTGAGGTGCCAAAGTCTCTGCCAGAGCTGTCATTCAAAGACCCATGGTAAAGCTGGTGATACCAGCAACACCTCTGTTTTTCTTGGTAGACCTGCTTCACAAGAAGGATTTGGGGGAAGTGAGGAAGCTTTGGAAGCAAAGATGCCAGTTTTCTAGCCTGAAAGCATCCTGCATTAAGAGCATCTGGTGGGTCTATGGACGCAGCACTGTCGTAACAGCAAAAGCTGCAGGCATACCTTAGACTTGTCGATAGGCACAAAAACCAAAAGGGAACTTGTAATTTACTTCTCTTGATCGAGTATAAACAAGTGCACTTGCAGCAAAACATATTCTTCAGCCGCTCACAGAGCATAGTTCAGAAATTCTTTGGTTGTCAGACAGCATGAAATTCCCCCTAATTCTCCCCCCTTCCCCCAGTGACAAGTGACAGAGTGATGTGGGAGGCTGAAAAAAGGATGCTAGTGTAGTGCCAGGAGAGGGGAGCATGATTCCAGCAGAGTGTAAACAGCCTTTTCTTCAGAGCAAGCTCAGGCTCCAGCCCCAGTCCTTGGCAGGTGCTTCTCCCCACTGCCACCGCAGCGCTGAGGTCTCAGCTGCATTCACGCTGTGTACAGCAGAACACTGGTTTCCCGCAGCATTGCCAAGGGGGGTTAAAACTTGTAGGAAGGTGCCTACTATCTATCTGAAGTGGTATCTCAGGAGGTGAAGGGAAAATAGAGCACCTCCCTTTCCTCTGGGGGGAACAGAAGAGGTTGTATCCTTAATTATCTACCATGTCAGTCCAAATTAAAGTCAGACTGCTGGTTTCCAGAAACTGCAGGTAAGTCAGTCTTGGCAGGAGAATTGGTAATCAAGCACCCCTGTTGCACAAAAATACGTATGTGTGTGTGTACCTCCTTCTGCAGGTATTTTCACTCAAAGTGCCCAGAATGAAGTCCCTTGTCATGTATGTCCATGGGACCAGTCCTATGCTGACCGGGCAAGGAAGCCTGAACCATCACTGACTCTGCTGATGGTGGATTTCTAGCTGAGAAGGATATCTGTTCTTTTTAGCCAGAGAGCCTTTGAGGCGTGCTCAATTCAGGTCATTAAAAAGAGAAAAGTGACCCATTTCTGACCAAACACAAAATCTATAATCTGAAAGTATGGGGCAGAAAAGCAGACCAAAGTTGGACATTGTAAAGAAACAAAAAATAGTCAATATGAAATTAATAACATTATAACTGCCTATTATATAGTTTTATTTGAATAATCCTCTACATTCATGTCAAAGCAGTTTATCTTGGAGTGAATATATGTATCTACACCCATAAAAAGCAGACTTTTGTGCTTTCAAATTGTTTCCTGCTCTGTGTTGCTGTAAATAGGGCACTTAAGAAAAGGAACAGTGAATCACAGAAACTGTGCACCGTGAGGAGGGGGGTTTTCTACCTTTCCAGGTTATCCGCTCAGTTATTTTCATTTACTTACTCTAAATTTTTGACACTTGAGCAGTTGGCCAATTTCTCTTGTCAAAGAGTTAAAAAAAATCAAAATAAAGTTACATATATTGGATGAGATAAAAAAACAAGGTGACAACAAATGGCAATGTATGATGACCTGCTGTGAGGCACAAAAAGAATTTTCTGAGGACACCATTAAATTTCTTAGCAGTATTGATGCAGAATTTCAGACAAATAGAAAATGGATAGCAGGCCAGAAAATGCTTTTTTCCTCCAGATTGGACCTGGCAAACTGCATAAATCCTACTTTTTGCAGAAACCTGCTGCACCATCACATAGTTGTCCTGATAGAAGAGACTAACTTACAAGTTCTACTTCACAGCTAGACATAAAAGGGGAAGCACTGAGGAGGACGGGCATGCGCTTCCATCTTTCCTGCAAAGAATTCCCAGCTCACCAGACATGGACTGCAAAAAGAGAGAAAGACAAAGGTGCCTCAAAATTACATAGAACTTCATGACAATACCACATTGGGCAAAACTGAACTGAAAGCGTGGATCCCAGCAGAGGCAGAAGAAGGGACAAACTGCATGTAAGAGAGAGGAATAAGCACATTGCTCCATTCACAGTGGGCTTCCCATAAACGCTGTTAGATTCCAAAGAGAATAATTTATAGGAAATGCATAGAAATTTTCTACATAACAGGTCTTACAAATACCCATTTCACAACTGAGTATTTGTGAAAAGGAAGAAAAAAGATCCCACAAAACATTAAACACATATTCTTTGGTATGTATTTTCCTGTATTTGGCAGAGGGAAGTTTTTAAGAATAATCTTTGATTGTTAATAAACTGTAAAAACGCATAGAGAAAAAACCTGATTTCATCATGTACAGTCAGGGTTATGAGGGAGTGTTTGCAGTGATGTATTCAAGTTGCAGTTCATAATTTTTGATGCTGACTGAGCTCATGTTAGAAAAAGTCCACAGTTCTGATAGAAAGAGGTAACAAAGACTTGGGTCAGCTTATTGAGGCACATATCAGTTTGTAACAGTTCCTTTGTGAAACAAATCATCCTTGGAAGTTAAGAATCAGGTAGGAATTTGCAGGATTTCCCTTCTGTAAACAGATGGAGGAAATCAGAAGCCATTTTTCCATCCCTTTGAAAGGAGAACCAAATGACTCTCGAAATGAGTTTTAAATGCACATATTACAAATAGCTGGAAATGACCACAGCCCAGCTTGGAAGACAGAGGTTGTTTTTCTCTGTAGAGTTCATAAAAAGCAGGCTTTCCATTATAAACTTCTTGGGAGTTGGGGGGTGGGGAGAGCAAAAAAAATTTGGTTCACAACATTGTTTTGCAAAGGCATTCAGATAGATCTTCAAAAGCTACCGGCTGTTGAGGCTAGTAACACCCATGCTCTCTCCTCAGTAGTGGACGCTCCTTTGGTATCCTATTTTGTAAGGCAGATGTCTTGCAGAGATGAAGGAGTCATACAGATGCATCTTTGAAAAGGAAGACAGTGTCACTTGCGTTGCCACACACACATTAATCTACCTGATTAAGGAACACACAGGAAACCTTCTTTTGGTAGGGGTGGGGAAGGAAGAAAAGAAAGCACTGAAACATTCATTACTTGCTAGAAGCAAGTTATTTTGCTCATGTAGTTAGTTGTTAACAGCTGTCAGCAGCTGTGATACTTCTGTCTTGACAGAAAATATGGACTTACTGCTTTGTGAGTAAGGAACAAGACATTAATAAATCCTTCCAGGTAGATACAGCCCTGTGGCTGAAAATATAAATATTAATTTTGGGAAGCATTCTGGCAGCTACTAAGCATGATACTTACCTGTTGACTGCGTGATGCACGAAACCTTGTAGGATGACCATATGCTTAAAACACAAAGGATCGTAGCTAGGAACCCGAAAGTCTGGATGAGAAAACAAACAAACCACAAATACTTACAGAACACTGGATGACACATATTCCATGAATGTATGGATACTCTTGTATATCCAGCTATAAATTTTATGACATTAACAGACCCAAAAAAGTGATTTCTTACTCCATTCTGCCAATATACTAAAAAAAAAGTTTCTAATAGCAGCTTATGTCTTGCAAAACAATGAGTGAAAGACAAGGGGGGAGAAAAGGCTGGACAGCAGCATAGTGTCTCACCTTCTAGACTTCTCACTAGGATTCTGCAACAAGTAAAAGACTTTTTCTAGCACCTCTGATTACTATTCTTTTACTGCCCCATTCAAACAAGTCTTTCCCTGCCATCTGCCAAATAAACAAGTCAGCTAAGTCTTCTAGTCTGTTTGCATCATCAGGACTAAGTTTCTGAAAGTAATTCTTTATTCTGGAGGAGTTGTATTTCAGGTCCTGCTGCTATGAAAATACTGTTGCCCACATTCAGAAGTCATGCCTCTCTCTATAAAGCCCTCCATCCAACAGAGGCAGAGAGTATCTCCCAGTAAGTCAGCCCAGAACCCCTGGGTTTTAGCTTAGGAGAAATTACCTTGAACTGGGCTCTGTTCAGGAGCAGGAAGCATCAAAAGCCAAAGAATGGGGTGAAATCCTTTAGGTAACTTCTAGCTGCTACAACAGCCATTTGTCAAAACTGAACTTTCTTAATTCTTCCCCTAAACACATTAGTTCCTATGAGTTAAAGCAGGAGCCTTTGGTTTCAACTCTCTGACAGGACAAATACCCTAGTCATGAGTCTGCAGTTTCACAACAGAATATTTTTGTTGGCATTGTGTTACAGAACATTCACTGAAATGAGCTAGAAGGTAGTTCACCCAACCAAGGCACAAGCAAGGCAAGTCTGTAAGAAAATAAAATTACAAGTAATGGATTTCCAATGCCCTATTTAATAAATACTGCAATTTAAAAAGTGTCCAGATTAATAAACCCAGTCTTACCGCTCCAGCCACTAGTCCAGTCAAATTGTAACTCTTGGATGCTGCTACAATTGATGCAATGAGAAGCAGAATTGTACCAATTAAATAATGAAGAAACTCCTGTAAAGACAAGCACAGTGTGCATCAGAAGGGAAACTTATCATGAAAGTATTTTGGTATGCCTCAGAATGAAAAAAGAGGTTACTTAAACCCAGAGGACAAAATAACAGGCCAAAAGGGGGGGGGGGGGGGGGGGGAGGGGGACAAAGCAGACGT